CACACACACACACACACACACACACAGAGACACAGACACACAGACAAACACAAACACACACAGACACCGACACACAGACAAACACAAACACACACAGACACCGACACACAGACAAACACAAACACACACACAAACACAGAGACACAGACAAACACAAACACAGAGACACAGACAAACACACACAGAGACACAGATAAACACAAACACACACACACACACAAACGCAAACACAAACACACACACACACACATATATAAGTGCAGAAAACATCACTGATAATGTGTTTTGGTGGAAGAGATCGGCTCCGTCCAGCGTCTCCTTCCACACAAAATTAGACTGTTTTTCCGAAGCCGGAGAACGTAACGAAATCTGAAACGTTTCTGCAAAAAACACCTTTACCATGGTAACATTTTTGGCTAAAACGTTTCAAATTCCATTCTGTTCCAATCTCTCTGCCGGATGTGAGGCTCCCAGATTTGTCTGTGCGTGTTCATGTCAGTCCTACAATGAAGCACATTAGAAATATGTTTGTACTTGGAGAACTAGAAACAGACAAACTAATTCAGTGGCATTTAAAACTGCTATTACTTGTCCAGGCTTTTAAAAATACCTTATATTTACATGTTTTCCACGAGGGTGTGAAGCCTTTTTTCTATTCTTATTTCTTCTCTGAATTTTTAGGAGAAACATGTGAAGTAGAGTTCATGCTTTCACAAACACACACACACACACACACACACACACACACACACATACACACACACAAATAAAGTCATAACCACTGCTGGGTAGTAACTGATTACATGTAATCTGGATTACATAATCAGAATTGAGTACTGGATTATATTGCATTTTAAAATGCTCATAATCAGATTACAGTTACTTTTTATGGATTGCATGATTATCTATTATTCATAAATGGCAGTAAATTATTCATAATTCATTGATTCTCATTAATTTTTCTTTTTCCTCTCTTTTAAAGTTTCCTTTCCAAAATTCTTACTTGTTTTTGTTTTAAAATAATGTATTTTTATTTTACATGTTTATGAATAAATTCATTATTAGCTTTTTATCAACTCATAAACCCACTGCAATTCTTAATTAACACCAGATCGGGAAACCCTGCGTAATGTGATGTTAGCTGCACTTCATGAGGTTGATATGAAATAATGGAATATGTTTTCTTTCTCTTTTTTTTTCATATGGTAGATTTAATGGTTAGTTTAAAAGTGAAATCGAGTGAATGCTTTCTGTACAAGAAACACACCTGAGAACGGCACCACACATGTTCTTTCTCCTTTTCTCTCTACAGTAAACCTGGTAAAACAATTCCACATCTTTTGTCTGATTTGACCCTTCACAGCTAAATGGAGGGAGGAGAGTGAAGATGTTGAGGGGCTGAAAGGATGAGGATGAACACACATCCTGCAGATGAGCTTTAATTCAGACAGAGATACAGAGAGCAACCCTGTGCACACGGCATTATGGGAAATAATGTTTTCTGCACACTAATTGAGCTTAGATTAGTGTGAGGATCTCCGCCGTCCCTACTGAGCAGTTCGCATCTATTCAGTGTTTACCGTGTTAACGGTTGATTTAATTAGTGCTGCTACTCAATAACAACCTCTAGCTTTCTCAAAGAGTCTTAAAGTTAACTGTGTGTTTATAATTCCTCAAATCATGTGTTGTTGAAGAGATTGTTGCGCTGTTATTTTCGTGATCCAACCTGCTGGACCAGACAAACAGGTGAAAAAATCCCACAGACATGAGCCACATCTAGAGAGCAGAAGATCACAGAGACGAAGTGCTAGTATATTGGTGAATGTGGGCAGCGAAACAGCTACTGGTCACCACTGAGATCCACAGTATAGAGAAAAAAAACAAATACTATGGAAGTGGATAGGGACCAACATTCTACAAAATATCTTCTCTTGTGTTCAGCAGAAGAAAGAAAGTCATACAGGCTTGGAATAACTTGGGTCAGTAAATGATGGCAGCATTTTCTTTTTTGGCTGAACTGAACTTTAACTACAGCCTGCCATTAACTTGCAGCTTTCATTTTTAGAAAATCCTTCGTTTCACAATAATTTCTCTGAATCACTAGACAGAGACGGAGAGAGAGAATTATCATCAGCGGTAATAAAATACAGCTTAATAACCAAAAAGCAAGTGCTCACTGGAAATACCATTTAGTTTTTGTTGTGCGTGTGTGTGTGTGTGTTAGTGTTAGTGTGTGTGTGTGTGTGTGTGTGTGTTAGTGTTAGTGTGTGTGTGTGTGTGTGTTAGTGTTAGTGTTAGTGTGTGTGTGTGTTAGCGTTAGTGTGTGTTTGTGTGTGTGTGTGTGTGTGTGTGCGCGTGATGGTTTGAGTAATAGGCTGGACTGAAGTGGAATGTGTGCTGAGCCTCTTTACTTCATTGCTTTTTAAATACTCTCATTATGTGTAATAGATAAATGAATCATCTGGAGGTAAACGCTTATTGATTTGAAGGAACTCAAGTACCGTTTTCAAAAGCGATTAGGATCATAGACAGTGTGTAAATCAGCGGCATATGTGAGCCATCAGACGTGTGCGATGGTTTAATGTGGACATCTTCACTCCTGCTCCATTCTAACATGTTTTTATTTAGTTTTTATTTCTTATTATAATATTGTAATCATTATA